ATCTCATTATTTGTTATATCAGGTGAATGTGGACACAAACTTTGTGTACCGTACCTTCATGAGAATGTTTACTTTACTTGTGTGTGTGTATATATATATATATATATATATATATATATATATATATATATATATATATATATATAAATAAATAATTCATGTAAATCCACAATGAATTCATTACTTAGTGATGAAAGCACGTATTGTGAGCTTACGAAAGATCCCCTGGAAAATATTAATAAGTTATCTAATTCCAAAATGAAGATGTTATTGAAAAAGAACCCCGATCTCACTAAACAGCTCTCTCAATTCAATCCCACTTTACCTTATATGTATGGTTTGATCAAAACACACAAGCTTAATAATCCTTTACGTCCTATCGTGAGTTCTGTGGGTTCTGTTACTTACAAATTATCCAAGTGGCTGGTAAAGATGATATCCCCTCTTACAGGCCAAATATCTAATTCACATATACGCAATAGCAGTGATTTAATTGATAAACTCAAGAAACACAATGAACCTTGCGAATTAATAAGTTTTGATGTAAATTCACTGTTCACTAGAGTACCTGTGAAAGACCTACTTTCATTTCTTAAAGATAAATTACAACTGCTAGATTTAACTATTGAACATGATACTTTCCTGAAATTGATAGAGTTATGCGTAACTAACAATGTGTTTAGAGCAAATGGGAAGTTCTACAAACAAATATTTGGTATGAGCATGGGTAATTGTCTTTCTGCTCCTCTAGCCTGTATATATATGGAGTTTTTTGAGTCTAGATTACTTCCCAATATAGTGGACTTTATTCCTCCATGGTATAGATATGTAGATGATGTTCTTTGTCTTTGGCCTAAAAACAGTGACCCATTGGAATTTTTAGACAAGCTTAATAATATTGTCCCTAGTATCACATTCAAAATTGAAAGAGTAATAAATGAATCCCTTCCATTTCTTGATATGCTAATCATGAGAAATGGCCAAAACTATAAATTTAAGGTATATAGAAAGCCCACACAGGTAGACAGTTTCATTCACTTTTTATCGAATCACCTTGAGTCTACCAAAATGTCAGTTTTTTCTGTTATGTTTTTAAGATGTCTGCGTATTTGTGACTCTGAATTTATTGACGATGAATTGAAACACATTCGTTCTATTGCACATAAACTCGGGTACCCTTCTGTGTTTGTTGATCGTTGTTTCAAAAGGGCTAAAAAATCCTTTCATTCCTCTCAAACCAGACATGTTCCTACACTTAAGAATATTTTGACTCTGCCCTATCGTAATGAATTTGTCCCGTTAGTTCGGTCCCTCAAGCTTCTAAATATTAATGTTGTTTTCAAGTATGACTCCACCATTACCAATATGTTAATAAGGAATAGCCCATGTTTGAATGTAAATGGAAGTGTTTATTGTATTCCATGTAGCAAATGTAATTGTAATTATGTAGGTCAGACAGGAAAAACACTGCAGCTTAGAATCAAACAACATAAGTATAATATCAGAACTGCATCTGAAAGCAGTGCCTTGTTTGTTCATGTTAGGAATAATAATCACCCCATTGCTTGGGAAAAAAGCTTAGAAGTATTCAAATCATCTTGTGTCACAGAAAGACTTCTTGTTGAAGCTAGTTTGATTAAGGAATTAAAATCAATAAACCTTAGTGATGGTCAGTTCAAAACTGATAATATGTTACATAAATTTATTTGTCAGTGGCCCAAGGTTAAAAATGCTTTGAAAACCTTTGATCTAGATGTATGATAGTTATTCTGTGGGTCCCTTTTTTCTGACCTGACTTGGCTAGTCACGTCACCTCCCTTCTCTTAAGCTCCTCTACGTGTGTGTTGGTGTGGGGATTAGTGGATGTCATCATTTTGACCTGACCTCATGTTTTTAGGTCACCCTGTATATTTAAGCCTCTCTCTGTCCATGTAATCCAGTTGCCTCTGAAGATGTCTTGAATAAAGACGAAAGCTAAGGTACTCCGTTGTTTCCATCTTCCCGTGTGATTTTATCAAGATAAATATATATATATATATAAATATAAATATATATATATAAATATATATATATATATATATATATATATATATATATATATATATATATATATATATATATATATATATATAGATATATATATATATATATATATATATATATATATATATATATATATATATATATATATATATATATATATATATATATATATATGCAAGTAAATCACTGTAGGTGCGCGTGATCTAGGTATATGCTGATAACCACAAGGAAAGAAGAAAACACGAAGTTCTCAAGCGCTTTCGTCTTTATTCAAGACATCTTCAGAGGCAACTGAATTACATGGAGAGAGAGAGGCTTGAGTACACAGGGTGACCTTACTAAACATGAGGTCAGGTCATAAATATGAATCCACTAATCCGCACATCACCACCATATAGGTGTGTGTGTGTGTGTGTGCGCCTTCGGCTCGGTCAACAGGTGGACCCTCAGCCGCTTTGGTTGCCCACCAAAATTCATCTCCATTGCAAGGCAACTCCACGATGGCATGAACGGCAGTGTCCTGCACAGCGGCACCCAGTCAGAGTTCTTCCACATCCAAACAGGGGTTGAACAAGGATGTGTACTGGCACCAACTCTCTTTTTCATCTTCTTGGCTGCCTTCCAGCCAGCGGGGTGAACATCGAGTACCGGGTAAAGAGGGGTCTTTTTAACACAAGACGACTCCAGGCAAGAACAAAGGTATCGGCAGCTTCCATTACTGAACTTCAGTATGCAGACGACCTCACCTTTGTTGCTCACACTGAACACGACCTACAGGAGATCCTGAACACCTATGGAGACGCGTATGCACACTTCGGCCTTGAGGTGAATGTACGTAAGACTTTGATTCTCTTTCAACTTCCCCCTGGTTCAGACACACCACCATCCATCCAGCTTAACGGATCTACACTTTCTAATGTTGGCCACTTCCGGTGTCTGGGCTCCTACCTGCCCACCACCGCAGACATCGATGAAGAAATTCAGCATTGGATCAGATGTGCATCTCACGCCTTGGGCAGACTCCGAAATCGTGTCTTCAGCTGTAGGGAGCTGAAATTATCCACAAAGCTGCACGTATATCGAGCAGTGGTCCTGCCCACCCTACTATATGGCAGTGAAACATGAGTCACATACAGGAGGCACTTCAAGGCACTTGAAAACTTTCACCAACGAGTCTACGTTCCATCCTCCGAGTTCGCTGGTAAGACAAGAGAACAAATGCCAGCATTCTTGCTGACACTAACTGTAGGAGCATCGAGGCTACTATTATTCATGAACAACTACGTTGGACTGGCCATGTTACCCGCATGGACGACAGTAGACTGCCAAAGCAGCTACTTTACAGTCACCTAACGAATAGTAAACGTAACGCTGGCGGGCAATTGAAAAGGTATAAGGATAGTCCTAAGACAAACCTGAAAAGGTCCCAAATCGACCCCCTCACCTGGGAGTCGATTACTCCACATCGTAACGCTTGGAGGAGCACCACACGGGAATGTGTCAATACTTTCGAGTTAGCCCGACTGCATTCCGAGGCGGATAAGCGCCAACGTCAGAAGGACGCTGCCACCGCCCCTCCCTCAGTAGATGGAGCCCTCCACATGTGCAACGAATGTGGACGACGCTGCCGGTCCCGTATCGGGCTCTTTAGTCACCACAAAATTCACTAACCTAGGTGACATTCCTAATAACCCATATCATTTCACCATGGCTGGATGATCGTCATACTCAATTCCGAGTGACAACAAAGTTGTAGTAGTAGTGGGTGTGTGTATGTGCGAGAGTGTGGTACTGTTTTTAGGCGGAATCGGTTATTTTGCAAAATAACTGGCATGCATATTGGTAATTTTGACAAATAACTTAGAAACAGACAACCTAAACTAACCTAAACTTATGGTTAGGACAGCATATAGTTCAAACTTAAAAAAAAAACGAACCGAACCACTTAACTGTGTATCAAGCTACACGAGCCATCTAATCCTAACCTAAGCTAACTTTATTCAACCATAAGGTTAGGTTAGTTTAGGCTGTCTTTTTGTAAGATACAGTATATCTTGCAAAATTACCAATATGGCTAAACGGTCATTTTGTCGGTTTTAAATTCGATTGCTCTTTTTTAAATTCTATCGAAGGTAAATTTTCGTATAATGTTATGTTTTTATTGTATATCACCTGTATTTTTAAAAAATTTCAAGACTTTTGTTTTCTAGGCTCTGATGATGGAAAATGATTATTTCCGAAACGTTAGCGATTAAAAGAAGCCCAACTTAGTCAAGATGTTTGTGTTTTCCCTGGTTCTCCTCTTCGTTATAAAACTACGCTTTCCGCATAACAAGTCCATTGCTGAAGTTATATATATATATATATATATATATATATATATATATATATATATATATATATATATATATATATATATATATATGCAATATTCAGAAATTTCAGTGTGATATTTAAAGAAGCAATTTATCAATAATGGCGATCTGAGTTCAAGGTCAAAGGAGGAAGGACAGTGCTCCCGCACAAGTAGTGAGAATTCCTGGAACTGCGCCAATATAATATTAAGTATACTCTGGCGACTTAATTTGGACTTGAATTATGAAATTAAATGACAGTTATTAAATTAAAAGTTATTATAGATCGTTTCCCAGTTTGAAAATGTTGCGTAAACCCTAATTAAGCTGTTAGTTGTGTGGTAAATAAGTCACTCCTTCAAGACGTACGCCTTGAAGTAGCGCATGTCTGGCAGTCGTGAGGCAGCGGTCAAGCAGACAGGAGCTCTGCGTTGGCCAGGAGAAACGGTTACGTGATCTGGTTTCTTGGTTACGACATCAGTTAACAAGGATG